ATACTCAATCGGTATCAAGTCTATGGCTTCGACCTTGTCAAATATAACTCCCGTCAGGTCGCCTCCAGTTATACGGACTAGCTTTCGATTTGATGTAGGATTTTTGTGCTTTTTCACCTGTCCTGTGTCACAAGTGAAAAATTTTATCGACACGAAGGTCAGCCTTGACCTCTTGTGTCCAGCTCTAATCTTCCTGCAAGTCCATGCGGTAGTGAGTCGTCTCTGCTAGGCGGGACATGAACAGCCTCGAACCGAGAGCGACCCGCTTGGAACGGAATATCCATACGTCACCCATTGACGTATGTTTTTTTGTGATCCATAGGTCAAGTGGCGAGTGACGTTTCGACCTGCTCATGTGATCATATTCGAAGAATGCTTTTTCGACGTCTGAAATCAAGGCTGCGCGGCCGATATCCATGCGTACAAGAGTCCATATACATAGTAGTGGCAGAACTACCGGAATTGCAAAATGTCTTTCAAAAAAAGGTTCCCTTTTCCTGATTCATCATTGTTCCCAAACTCGACAATGCCTTTACTGAAATGGTCTTGGAAGATGTCTTTGTACTGTATGGAAGCTAGCGCTCGATTATCTGGTGAAGGTGGATACTGTAACTTCCATGGTCGGGGTAAATATCATATCCATCATTTCGAAATTCGATGGACTTATTGAATTGCTTCCAAACTGTTGATCCAATTCATTTTGCACTTTCCTTTCCGAACCCTGAAATTCTTTTGTACCCGCTGAGCCCTTTGACCAGTATTGCTTCCGTTGGTATGTTTCTTCTACGTTGTTTCTTCATCGGTTCACTTCAACATGTAGACTTTCACCAAATTCATTACCAGTACTGTTCCCGTTAGTCAATTTCGATGTCCTGGTGTCATGTGAAATGGAGAACTTCTTTTTTTCAGTTACATTTTTTTTACCACCCTTAAGTAACCTGATTTCGTAAGTAAAATAAGCAGCCCCGATGGCAGCGATAGTGGAGGTGTACCGTTCTGTATGAATATCCATAGCTAGTCGCATCTTAACAGTAGTGTCGATTGTTAAAGGACTCGCTTCCCTGATCGATGACCTATCTTCTTAGTGAGTGAGCGAAAGAATTCTGGGTCATAGGAGTTAGTTAAAATATTGGAAAATATTGAACATGGCAATCCCAGAACATGGAGTTTCGTCAATATACCATACGCTACACGCACTCACTGACAGTTCCTTTTCGCTACTTCTTTTGCTTTGTGCCGGAAGTGCTCACCACAACAAGCTTCTCCTGTACCGGCAGGTGAAGTTGTGCTTATAAGTTGCTGTCTATGATCGACGCCTGGGCTCCTGTATCGAATAGGTCGTCTACTTTCAAAAGGTTCCCTGTTTTCGGATTTGGTCTTGTGACTTCTACAAATGCTCAAGAAAGGTGAGGAGGATTCGTATACCTGAAACATTTAGCATGGGAAGGCGTGGAGTTTTTTTCGAAGTTTTTTCTTCTCCCTCCTTGGTAAATACTGCACTAGAACAAACTTTCTTCAGGAATCCTTTACTATATTTCCATTTTGAGTTTTCTTCCCCATGAGCGACTCGATAGGACCACTCTCCCTTCTCTCAAAAGTTGTCCTGTTCGGACAATGACGATACCTGCTGTCTGAGTTCGGGACAGCACGAAGTATGATGTGTTGCACTACAGTTAAAACATGGGCGACCTTTGCAAAGATTCGAGATGTGAGTTGGTGATGCGCATACAAGACATAGCTTATTGCGTTTGATTTATGCCTTCGGGTGTAGCATAAGTGGTACGATTACTGGCCGAATGACCGTTTCTGCAGTACGTGCATGTGACCACCGCTAATCGGTCCAGTTGCTTTTCCCGTATGAGTTACGTCTATATGATATTCGTGGTTTACCGACATATAACTTAAACCTCTCTTCTGTCACTGAGTGTCATACAGCTAGGTTTTCAGTGGTAACTTTTCCTTCTGTATGACTTGACTAGAAACTTTTCGACGAGCCATGAACTAATGGTGTCCTTCCCTTTGTTTTCCAAGCGGGCAGTAGTAGCTTGAAGTTTCTCCGAAGAGAGCACTAGTCCATTTTCTGGTTCCATTTGTTGGAATTCGTCATGGCCCACGATTCAAGAAGGTTGAGCTTAATCCGGGTCAGCGTTCCGAGAAGCAGCTCTGCCTTCAGCTGTTCTCCTGATAAGGAAGGGCAAGGAGCCCGACGATACGTCAGCAGAGATTTTGTAGAATTTCGTTGGCAATTAGCCTTCCTTCATCTTTCCAGAGTTTCTTTTGGAGGTGTCGTTGAACCGCTCTGCCTAACCGCTAGACTGTGGGTTGAATGGGGAGAGGCTTGATGTGTATGATACCCAGTTTTGGGTGTAGAAGACTTTGAACATTGTCTGTAACGAGTATCTTAGATTGCCAAATTGGGCGGAAAGACTGCGAAACTTTTTAATGGTGCAGCTTGTAGTTATTGATGACATCTCTGCGATCTCCGGCCATTTCGAGTAGGCGTTGACAAGGACGAGATGACGATCCACAGATTCGATGGCATGTACACGATTCTATGGATCGTCACCTCGTCTATCGTCTTCTAGCCGTAGAAGGAATGCGTAGTTTTGACTGTATTCAAGCAGTTTCCTGGCAGCCACAACATCCTTTTACAAAATTTCTTGATGACATTGTTTACACACCGTTTCCGGCGAGCAGCTTCCTAAGAGTCACCCCCGGATATCCCTCGCAAGGTTCGTATAGTACTGAGCTCCGTAAGGTATCGGGAGTGACAATGCCACCTAGATTAGGAGGGATCCATTCTGCGTGGAGGCAATTGTTCGAGAAAATTAAATTTGCTTGTAGCATCTGAGCTCTTTGGCTACTCTCCACTTCGCACAGAATGCAGCACTTCCTTCAGGTTTGGGTCTTTAGTTTTCTTCGGCTATCTTCCTAGAGTCGATTGGTAGCAAAGATACTGCATCGACGACGGCGATTGAGGCATCTTTTGCGATAGCTGCGATGACTACATCCTTTTCCTTCGTCGATTGCTCTACAATGAGACGAGTTAGGTGGTCACTGTCAGAAGTTGTTGCTTGTCGGTATTCGATTGTTGCTTGTCGGTATTCGATGGTGATGTCCTACTTTTTCGCATCAGTGCACAGCATTGAAGGCGACCGGCTATGCATAATGACATTCCTTTCCTACTTCTGAAAATGACGAGAAGTGGCTTGCGGTTGGTTAATAGCTTCGTATATGTAACGGTGGAGATTTCATAAGTGAACGTTATAGCGAGAGCCCTCATCTCGACATGACCGTAATTCCTCTCGGCAGCTGCCAGGGAGCGGCTAGCGTATCGCTTTCTCCGTTCCATTTGAGAGACGGGGGCTTATCACTGCCCTATCCCGTGCTCCGATGCCTCAGTCGCACCGACGATCTCTTTTGAAGAATCCTCGTGGGTGAGCAGTAAGTCCGAGTCTAGTACATCCCTAGCGTGTTGGAAGTCTTCTTGGCACTCGGCAGACCAATCAAACGGAGCACTCTTTTTCAGTAGATCATCCAACGATGCACGCAGTTGTCGCATATCGTTCTGAAGTTTGACATCTTGCGAGTTACCTCGATCTAGGCAGGATCAGGTCGGCATTTAGTGGAGTCGACAATATTTTCAAGATAACGGAGTTGAGGCACAAGGAAATCACACTTATCCGTCCGAATGCGGAATCCATAGTCGGATATCCCCTCTAAGAAGGCTTCCAGATTCGCTAGATGTCCCTCAATGTTGCGGCCCGTGGCGATAACGTCGTCGAGGCAAGCAGTGCAGCCTTCGAGTCCACAAACCGTGGACCTATTATTTGTCGGAAGATGAGGCTAAATGAGGTTAAACAAGAGGCGACTGTAGCAGAGTAGCTCCGCTCGTATCAGTGGCCAACAGCTCCTTCGCCTCGCCATCGACTTTGATTCAGAGATAAGCATCGGCCAATTTATGTTGTTACTGTGCCACGTTTAACTTAGCAAAAACTTTTTCTGGAGTCAGCACCGGATGTTAATGCAGCATAAGTGCGTCCTGAAGTCCAGTAGAAAAACCAGCACCAAGTGGCGGCGTTCCATTCCATTTCTTGACAGCGACGATCGCGGCTGCCCAGACAGAGTAGTTTGCTGTAGAGCACACTTGTTTTGCAAGTAAACGGCCGATCTCGTCATCGAGGGCGGCGACGTAGGCGAATGGCAAGAGGCACTTCTTTTCGAAGACAATTTTAGCATGGGGCATAGACAATTGTGGTCTCAGCCTTTGTGCATCTCCCGAGTCCTGCCGCAAATACGTCGGCATGATTGACCTTTTCAATTTGGCCAATTCAGGATCAGCAACAATGGTCTCTCTACTGATGTCGTTTGGGGTTGTTCCACCAGTTTCGGAATCTACTGGATCCATTCCCAGCCAAGGATGTCGAGGTTTTCGTTGATGTAGCAGCATCCTTGTCCACGAGACTACCTTCCGCCTGACCTCCTCAGTACAAAGTCGACCATGATGTATCATTTTGTGGGAATCCTATCCAATTGCTGCATCGACGATCTTGTTGACCTTTTGTACCTGCGGCCCTCCGAGTCTCCTCGAACTCGATTCTGATATTAGTGTTGTCATAGCGGTAGTATCGAGAAGAAGACTCGGAGGATATTCATTCACTTCGACTTCCAGAAATAGTTGAGCATCCTTGCAGAGAGCCTTCTCAATGCTCCTGATCTTACAGCTCCGTGCTAAGTCTATTCCGTGGGCGTGACGATGGCGATGATTCCTATTATCCAGATCTCAAATTGCGAAGCGCATCAAAATCCTTTTTGTTTCTTAGTTTGCTGCTGCTTGAACTGTCTTTTCTTACTCCTCCTACCAAAGTAATTGATCGGAACGTTGGGGTTTATTGTGTTTTGCAGTGTTTCATTTCCTTTATATAACTTCTCCAATAATCGTGTTCTGTAGTCAGCGTACTCGGCTCCCTGAAATCCAGCAACGTAGACGAGACGACGCATCAGAGGCCATCGAAGCTTATGAAGTCATAAGTGACATCAGAAATTTGCGTGCGCACAAGAGCCTCGTAGCTATTGAAATCCCCGTAGTCGTACCTGACTTTGAAGCACTCGAGCTGTAAACGGAGTGAGGCCTTTGCAGAACCAAATAGAAGATCCACGGTGGCAATGGCTTCATCCCATGACAGTTTTGTCGGTTGCCTCGGCGCAATAGAGCCATAAAGAAACTGGTGACAGTCTTCGTCCAAGGGGTTGATTAGTAAGCGTGTCTTTTCTTGCTCACTAAGTTTTCCACATCGTTGTCGAAGAAGTCCTTGAAGCGTTGTACCGAATATCAGACTTTCTGATAAAATTTGTCGATATGTCGGCAGTGAGTCGAAGATGTTAAACTTCTCAGCTGCGAGATTCGCTTCAGCTCCATCATTTTCAAGGCTAGGGGGAGGAGTCGGAGGTTTCCTCCTGTTGATTCTGCATGAGTCAGAATATTCTTCTGGCGTTCTATTTGGTCCTGCGTCAGAGGAAGAAATTCGGACAGCTCATTCACAAGTCCTCACCTGATCGCCAATTTGCGTTCGAGGGTGGCAGGCAGAATGCAGAGTGTTTATTAAGGATTAAATTGAACATAACAACCAATCGAGGAATTGATATACAAGAATGAGAACACTTATGAAATGGCTCAGAAGCGCAACGTGATAAGTGACAGTAACGGCATCAACGGCTCTTGATTTTTAAAACACCCGCGATCTTAACTCAATAAAACAGTGACTACTCTTTCTATTGCCAAGAATGAAACGGGCCTGAACTTATTACAGAATCACTGATGGAACACGAACACAGCATTAATTAAGTGAGTCAGTAGGGAAATGACTAACGATGCAACGATAACGAGGCCGGTAACTACTAGAAGCTGCTGAATCGAATTGAAGTATCGACACATTTTTTCACAAAGGCTCTGAAAGAAAGGTCAGGTTCGCACGAAGTATCCCAAATAGTAAGAATCAGTTAACCGAAAAATGAACTGAGAAAAATCAATTCATAAATCGGAGAAGTGTTTCAGTGATTAAATCAGAGCTATCGACTGATGAAGCACGACCGAGTTGTCACGTCAGAACCTAGACTGAAGAAAGTTAGAACTAATGTAGAAAGGTAGGAAGGAAAATAAACTCGGGAGTAGCTCCTAAAGTGGGGTAGCCATCAATCACCGGAGAAGATGCAATGACATATTGATGCCTCATTCATCTTGCTCCAACAATCAAGTTTATTAACGATCTTTTTCCAACAGCTTACCATTGACACCGCATTGTCTGCAATCAAAGTCTTCGCTGTTCATGTCGGCATTTGATCCAAGACAGAATTGCTGCACGAGTTGCATAACTATAGATCGTTTTATCTGAGTTGGACTATCGCGGAATTTTTCAGGTTACCACTGCTTCCACGGACAACAAAACAAAGGTGTATTATAGGTACCATTGAAAGCATCGTAGACCATAGAGCATAAAGAGAATACACTGGCATGTAGGACGTGAAGAAATGCTCTAGATTATTGGAATGATCATTGGGATACCTCACCATGACTCGCCGCTGTCCGCCGGTGAGGAAGCAGAGTGCCCGACTCTGAAGTTATAGGGCTCTGAAGAAAGGCTGCTATTCGACAGCCTCTCCCACGATGACCCGGTTCTTCAGTCTCTCCCGGTTGCTTTCACGTAGCGTATGGTGGTGCGAATGACGAGGCAGGACTACGCGTAGTTGGGTGACAAAAAAAACTAAGGTCATCGTAGAACCACTTTGGGACCACCTCGTCGGTCTGGGTAACAAAAAAATTCTGCATGCTAAATGTTCTGGGATGACCTTTCTCGTGGCAGACCGCGTAATTACGGATACACACCCGTTGTGCTGCTCTAGGCATTCACTACCGGTGTAATGCCTAACGCAATTCGGAAGCTATCGCGGAGCCTACTACCTTATATTAAAATGACCCTTCTTGCGGCAGGAACCACAAGTATTTTTCAGTTCTCGAGTATCCATCGGGTTTGACGGATCAGGGTGTCATGGTGAGGTATCCCAAAGGTAATCTGGAGCGGGATCGAGGAAAATAGGTCCTCGCAACAGGTGGCATCTGAATATACTACGACTTGGCGAACTTCAAGCTGCACTACGTTAGGATTCGGGAAGAGGAGACTGCGTCTCATGAACTGCATAATTCACGTCTCATTTTCTTTTCTCAGCACGGAAGACCCATTACTAGCATTTGTGGACGAAGTGGTCCGAGGACCATCCTCCGAGAGAGGAGGAGGTGCCTGTTGCTGTTAGGAGGTGTAGGTGTGCGCTTGTATTGTTGAAGTGTTGATGGCGATCAGTGGACTCTGTGGCTCTCTGCGTCAATCAGGGCCTCGGGCTTGTTCCTGGAGTGGGATCGTCTATCCAGCACGAAGATTTCCGAGTAGCCGTCCTTGACTTGATCGTCAGAGCATCTGAGGAGTTGTCCCGCCAGCACTGTGACCATCGTGCTATAATTGACTTTTATAAACCTAATCGATACTCTGCGTCTTCCTAAAAATCTTGGGCCCTCTTTCAAAATACAGCAAAAATTATCGATTGAGCTTTGAGTACTCCCATCATGCAGGTCTCGTGTGATGCTACGGCTGAAGCGTGCTGTAGCGTTTCTGTGAGAGTCTATTCGGTGATGTAAAAGAGTTGCAGTGTGGTTTGAAGTAATCGAACCCATAAAAAAGCTGGAGTAATCTTGCTATTGTTAAATTCTGGAGTGGATCCCCAATCACAGTGATACTGTGAGTCAGCTCGTGGATCCAACCCATTGAGTGAGTGCATCTGAATACAGCGATTTTCTATTAACCCAGATGACTGCTAAGTTGTGCAGTGTGTGAGTGGAATAATTGTTCAACTTCAAAAGGGTTTGAAGTGTGTGGTCTATCTTTGCTACATCTTCGAAGCCGGAGGGTCGTGCGGGTCTAGGTATTTCTGACCCAAATTTGGGTGCTGCGCACGCGTTCTCACAGCGCATCCTTTGTTGTAATATGATCAAAGGCGGTACAGAATTGACGTGCCGTCCCCTCCTCCACCCTGTCTATGGTATTGGGTCACTTGTGGGTTACGGGTCAATGATGTGGGTGCTAGTTTTCTTCTTGTCCCCAAAAGCACATCCTTCCCTTTTCCTTGTGAGTTCCCCGAAAAACTTTGATACTGCCTCCTTCCTCTTCCTTATTTTTTCTAGTATCTCCTTTCTACTTCTACCTTCCTTTTATATTCCCCGACCACTTTGTCGTATGAATTGTAAGTCTACGAGTTCCCTGTCTGGTATTATGGGGCACTTCCGGGATGTTCATTGTTTCATCCGCTCATTTTTTTGGAATAACATTAAATACTGCAACGCTGGAAGAAATTTTCGATTCATCGCCCTCTTCCTTTTTGCCTCTCTCCGAGGTGAAGGTAGTTAACTGAGATGGCTGCGTTCCTGTTTCCGCTGTCATCTGCCTGGCTCATGATATTCCCATATCTGGTTCTATAACGGCACGAACTTGTGGAGTCTGGGCGTTATTCTGGTTAAGTAGGCTGTCAAAAGCTACATTGGGTCGAGCCTGTGGGGGGGGGGGGGGG